CTCCACACACAGCATGAAAGGAGTCGCCTCGCCTCTGCTTCCACCCAAGGATGCTGACAACACCAATCCCCCATGGGTTGCAGGTTTTCCAAATGCCAAGAGCTGTGCTAAGCACTCTACACAGACCATCTCATTTTTATCCTCTCTACACACCTGTGACATAGGCACTTGTTTCATAGGTATGGAAGCAGAGACATAGGGCTATCTACACTAATAAAAGAGAAACATGGTAATTGGCGTACGACCGCTACCCTTCCCATTGGCTAATCCCCCTGTCACTCACAGAGTAGGGCCGAGATATGCAAATTAACTGTCAGCCAAGATGGCGGCCGGCAGCCAGGCAGCTGATGCGAACAGGGAGGCTTGCTTGCTTCAATGACGGAGGACTCCAACGTTCCCCGCCTGACTTGCCGGCCTCTCAGCTGCAACTCTAAGCAACTATGTTGCGAATATAGAAGCTAAAAAAAACCCAGAAACCTGCTTTACTCAGCGGGGCTTCAGCCAGCCGGACCGCAACATTGTATCAAATACAGACGGTAAACAAAGGCCAGAAACCTGTTTTCAGCAGACGAGGCCTCAGAGCTAAAGCTGGCCCAGAATAAAAAAAAAGAAAAAGAAAAAAAGGAGCGGTTGGGAGCTTCAGTCCCAGCCTGAAAACAGCCCTCAGCCCCTCAGCCAGACTGGCCAGGCACCCCAGTGGGGACCCCCACCCTGAAGGGTGTGTGACCAGCTGCAAACAGCCATCATCCCCTCACCCAGACTGGCCAGGCATCCCAGTGGGGACCCCCATCCTGATCCAGGACACCCTTCAGGGCAAACCAGCCAGCCCCACCCATGCACCAGGCCTCTATTCTATATAGTAAAAGGGTAATATGCCTCCCAGCACCCGGGTCAGCGGAGCCGCGAGGCCTCCAGGCACCGGGATCAGTGTGACAGGGGGCATTGCCCAAACCCCCTGATTTCCCTGAAGCTCTGTGTGTGACAGGGGGCGGGCCCCCCCTCCGCCCCCCACGGGCCCTGCTCTGTGTGTGACCGGGTAGAGCCATAACCTCCCCATCTGCCCTGCCCTGAGTGTGACAGTGGCAGTGCCCCAACCCCCTGATCGGCCCTGCTCTGTGGGAGATAGAGGGCGGTGCCCCAACCCCCTGATCCGCCCTGCCCTGAGTGTGACAGGGGGCAGTGTGCCAACTCCCCTATCGGCCCTACTCTGTGAGTGACAGGGGGGAGCTCCCCAACCCCCTGATTGACCCTGCTCTGTGCATGACAGGGTATGGAGCCCTAACCCCCTGATGGGCCCTGCTCTGTGCGTGACAGGGTATGGAGCCCCAACCCCCTGATGGGCCCTGCTCTGTGCGTGACAGGGGAAGGCACCCCAACTCCCCAATTGGCCCTGCTCTGAGCCCGACCAGGGGCTGCACCTAGGGATTGGGCCTGCCCTCTGCCACCCAGGAGCAGGCCTAAGCCAGCAGGTCGTTATCTCCCGAGGGGTCCCAGACTGCGAGAGGGCACAGGTCAGGCTGAGGGACCCCCTCTTCCCCCAAGTGCACAAATTTTTGTGCACCGGGCCTCTAGTTAAACTATAAGAGAGGAAGCCAAGATCTGGACCCAGGCAGTGTGGCTTCAAAGTCCATGCTTCTAACCACATTGTGTATTGCCAGCAAGCACGCTGGGAAAAGACACAATTGCTTGAAGATGGGAGTGACTTTACTCCCTTGTTAGTAGCCTGATAAAAGGCTCCAACAAATCCCAAATAGAGGGAATTGGGGAGAAATACATCACATCAACAAGGGGTGACTATTTATTCAAAAGGAAAGATCCAACAATATAGCATAGAAAAAGTGAGACTTTCTGTCACAACAAATGCTCAAATAGTTTGACTCTCTTTGGCTTAAGGTTAAATATCCAACCCCACTGAAAGGTTCAGTAAGAGTCTGTTAAGTAATAAGTCGCAAAGGTCCCAGATTCCTTTCACACTTCATTAGGTCTCTTATGAAACCTTGCATTAATGATTGGGCAAAATCTGAGAAGATCATCACATGGAAGAAAATAGAGTTTTGTGGAGTATGTGCATCCGATGTAGAAAGTCAAAAAGTCAAAAGGACAGAGTGTTTTTCAAAAGCTTAAAAAGAAGATGTTCCACAGTTATATTTTAACACTGTCAGAAAATGAGGAATCAAGAAAACAGGGGAAGAGAATGCATTGTCCAATTGGGTATGAGAAAAGAGTGAAGAATCTTGCTTATTACAAAATATTTTAAAATGTGGAATAAAACTAAATAGTAGCAATACAGTAGTCCCCCCTTAACCATGGTTTCACTTTCTGCTGCTTCAGTGACAAGGGGTCTACCTCCCGTGGTCCAAAAATATTAAATTGAAAATTGCAGAAGAATTCACACGTTTTAAATTGCACACTGTTCTGGACAGCGTGATGAATTCTCAAGTGGTCCTGCACCAGACGTAAAGCATCCTTTGTCCAGCACATCCACGCTGTGTACACCCACCATTGGTCACTAGTAAGCATCTCGGTTACCAGCCTGACCATTGGAGTATCCAGTGCTAGTGTTCCTTTAAACCTTATTATACTTAATGATGGCCCTAAGAGGCAAGGGAGTGATGCTGGCAATATGAATATGCCAAAGAGAAGCTTTTACTTAAAATGCTTCCTTTAGGTCAGGGGTGGGGAATGTCCGGCTTGCTGGCCATAGAAGATCCGAGAAATCATTTGGTCTGGCCCTGCCAAGGCATTAGGGATGAGTTAATTAAATCTTTGACCAAATATAGCAGGCTCTTTCCTCAACATAAACTTATAGAAACTACTAGAAGCCTGGTGCACGAAAATTCATGCACTCGGGGGGAGGGTCCCTCAGTCTGGCCTGCGCCCTCTCCCAGTCTAGGAGCCCTCAGGGAATGTCCAACTGATGGCTTAGGCCTGCTCCCTCAGTCTGGCCTCCCTCTGCAGGAGGCAACCGGGTAGACTGATCAGGGGATATGAGCAGCCGGCCCCGCCTCCCCCAATCACCCTTCTGCTGCTGCTCATTGCCAATGCCCCCGGATAGCCATCCCCTCCCTCTGCCCACTGGCACGCGCCTTGGCTGGCCTGGCACCACCTGCTCACCGGTCCCGCACCCCCCCCGCCCCGCCCACTGCAGACCAGTTGTTCTGCTGTTCAGTCGATTTGCATATTATGCTTTTATTATATAGGATAGGATAATGACACAGCTTATGAGTTAATGTAGGCTAATTTTTAAATTGATAACTTTATATGGCCCTTAAATGATGTTATAAATACCCAAATGACCCTTGGCAGGAAAAGATTCCCCACCCCTGCTTTAAGTGAAAGGGTTGGTACAGTACAGTAAGCTATTTTGAAAAAGAGAGAGATGGACCACATTTACATAACATTTATTATAGTATATTGTTATAATCATTCTATTTTATTATTTGGTATTGTGTTAATCTCTTACCGTGCCTTATTTATCATAGGTATATATGTGTGGTAGACAGACAGACTTGGGCAGAGCAAGGATGGGCCAGGTACAGAATGTCACCAGGATAGAAAGCCCCAGGTACCAAGCAAAGGACAACTGTAGGGCAGGACTTCATCCCCAGGTGACCTTTCCTCCCCTAGCATATCAGTGGAAGGTCATGCCATTTAGACCCCCTGACCTTTCCTCCCTAAAGGTAACTTCTACCCCTCTGTTGTATTTCAGCTCTAGAAATACAACAGAAAGCAGCAAAACCAGTCAAGCAACACCAAGGCTGACCTCAGGACCAGGTGCATTAGACAATGACCCCCTGCCCTGGCTCTGATCAAACAGTGGAAACCTAGACCCTAAAAGAACACACCTGGAAAGCTGCTGAATATTGTATTGAGATCTTCCCCTGGGACCTCCCCTAAAATCTCCACCTTAAAACCCTTAGGACGGAGGACCCAGTGTGCTCTCCTTCTTGGGAGCATGCAGGTGCGTATCCCTTTCCCCCTCCTACCTCCCCTCCCCCACCCCAGGTGAGCCACCATTACCTTCCTCACTTCCAAGGGCCCTTTCCGTTACCTCTATAATTTTTTTCCTAAGCCCATTTCTTCTACAAATTATTTCTACCTCTGTGATTTTCTAAGTAAATGTTCACTTATAGTTTGAGTCTTGATTCTGAATTCTTTCCTAACCAGAACTCAAGTATGAGGTTGCTGAACCCAGGTCCAGTCTGATCCCACCAGTGTGGTGCTGTTTCCGAGGACAACAACATATATATTAAAAAAACAACAAAAAACAAACCAAGAATATATAGGTTCAGTACTATTCGAGGTTTCAGGTATCCACTGAGGGCCTTAGAACATATTCCCCACAGGTAAAGGGGGACTAATATACTAAAATACAGCCATAGGGTCTTGAATAAAACATTATTGTGAAAAAAAGTTGAGCTATACAGATTGCTTTTTACCAAACTTGTCTTATCATTATTTGTCTTTGAAGGCCCAAGACCTGGTTCTGCCACTTCCTAGTAATGCTCTCAAGCTTGCGTATTTCTTCCAAGATTCAGTTTCTTCATCTATAACATGGAAATAACAAATACTTACCTTCTACAATTACTGTGAGCCTTACATTAAATGACATACTGCCACCTACACACAGATGAAATGTGTTTATAATATGTAACAATTATTGGTATATACTATGAAAAGATTATTGTATATTAAACTTTGTGTGTTAAAAATAGAACCATATAAAATGTCACATAGGCATGCAGCCTTAAAAAATCAACTTCATCCATAATTACACCCACAAATTTTAGTCAATTTACCACATAACAATTGTGTTAAAAATTAGAAAGTCTTATGACTCAGTAGTGTAGATTTTGGAGGGAAAAATTCCACTTTAATTTATGGGAATGCTTTATAAATTGTAAAGTACTAAACAATACTAACTGTGTTTTCATTGTATTATCATCCTGTTGGCTTCTAGAAGAACTGGAGATGCCATCAAATTAAAATCACTCAACACATTAAACTACAAATTTTTATTCACAGGAATTCAATATGAAATTTACTTATAAATACTGTTACCAGTATTTATAAACTTTTAAGAAGTTACAACAACATAAATAATAGACATTAAGTCAACAAAGATAACAAACAAAATTTTTAGAATTGTTCCCACAATTTCATCTTCCAGATTTGTGGGGGTAGTAGTAGAAATTAATATCCAGTTTTTAGATGTCATATCCAGAATGATCCTGCTTCCTAGAGGAAAAAAGAGAGAGGTAGCCTCAAATGAACACATTTATAATTCTGATTTTTTTAAAAACTAAGTCTAATATTTGCACTGTAAAAAAATAGTGATGAGGAATCACCTTTTAGGCAAGACTCGGCGTATTTGTAACCAACCAAAGAACTAAAATGTTTTACTCCTTAATGAATTAAAATATTTTTCATGCACTCATTTTGGCTACTTTATGTCATAATCATAGATTTTTCTATATCCCAAACTTGCCTCTCTTTCTCAAAGAAACAGCTCAACCACTTTGTAACATATATAAATGTCTAATCCCTCCTATATACATAAAACTAATATTGTATGTCAACTATAATTGAAAAGTAAATGTTTAAAAAAGAAACTAGCCCAGCCCGTGTGGCTCAGTAGTTGAGCATGGACCTATGAACCAGGAGGTCACAGTTTGATTCCCAGCCAGAGCATATGCCTGGGTTGCAGGCTCAATCCCAGTGAAAGGTGTGCAGGAGGCAGCCAATCAATGATTCTCTCTCATCATTGAAGTTTCTATCTCTCTCTCCCTCTCCCTTCCTCTCTGAAATCAATAAAAATATATTTAATTTTTAAAAAGAAACTAAACAGCTCAAGGAACTATCAAAATAACTTCTTTTTTATGTTATCAGTATTTATAAAGTCTTATCTGCTAAGTCATTTACATTATTTTACAATGGTATCGGTGAAACTGTCATTCTTCCAACCCATAATATAGTAGGTATTACCAGGAAATGAAAATTTGAAAACATGGAAAAAGGCAGGTAAAAACATTTCTTTTTAGTTAAAAAAAAAAATGAAACACCAAGCCCTGGCCAGTGTTGCTCAGTAGTTGGACCATCAGATGAGAACCAAAGGGTCTCAGTTTCAATTCCCAAAAGTATGTACCTGAGTTGCAGGTTCTACCTCTGCCGTGGGAAGGGCGCAGTCAGGGCATGTGTGGGAAGCAGCCTATCAATTGTCTCTTTCACATTGATGTCTTTCTCTCTCTCTCTCTCTCTCTCTTTCATCCTCCTTCCCTCCCTTCCACTCTCCCTAGGAAATCAATGGAAAAAATATCCTCAGGTGAGGATTAACAAAATAAAAAATCAAACAACACAAGGTCTTTTTCATTATCTTGATTTTTTTCCCCTCAAGATCCTCTGACTCATATTCTGGTCATTTAATATGATATCAGTCACTTAATTTCCTCCACATTTCAGTGTTAATCAAACAGTTTAAAAATAGCTGGAATTTTAAAAAGTATAATAGAATTTGTAAAAGTGTTAATTTGTGGTCGGGTTAACATACTGTTGGCGCATTTTACCAAATGTCAGTCAGGTAGGGAGGTTAGGGTTAAGGTTAGGGTTAGGGTTAGGGTTAGGGTTAGGGTTAGGGTTAGGGTTAGGGTTAACTCCTTTTTCAGGAATGCAAGGTCAAATAAGGATTTTGCAGATGCTTACATCAAAGTTTCTTATAGACACTCAACTTGAAATGAACATCAGTACTCTTAAAAAGTGGCAAGTTTGGGTTAGTGCTATTTTCACTCAAAAACAAAAATGCAGGTTGAGTTTTAAGAGAGGAGAAAAAGAGGGGAAGGTAGATGAGATTTATGCAAGTGTCATTATCTCCCACTTTTAGCAATCTTGATTAATTTCTGTAATAAATAGCCTCGTTCCTAAAGGAAGAAATAATGTGCCTCAAATTACACAGCAATGACTAGCAAAGTGAACACCTAGAATTTCCCCCACATTCAACATTTTGCCTATGCTACAGAAACAAGGGGGAAGAATAACACACGGCTTAAAGTGGCTTTCTCTTCTATAAACTCCGCAGCCAGATTGTTTCCTTTGTTTGTGCCCTGAAGGGTACCTTCAATTTCCTCCAACAACAGCAGGAGAGGGACTCAAATAGGAAGTGAGGGCAAGACGAAACAACTGGTAAAGACTGAAAAGTAGAAATCCATTTCTCACCTGACTCAATCCCAGGTTGTGGCAGATAACAGGGCTCTTTGGTTTCCTCTCTGTCTGCTCTTGCTAGAACAAAGTGCATTCAGCGCAGGTGGTCTCTTAGCAACCTTGGATCCTGGGTCAAAGCACATTAAAAGGTTTTATTGGATCGTGAGCTAGTGTATGAAGCTGAGGGGCGGGGAGCCTGCATAGAGAAACTCTAAAATTACTCTCAGAGAAGTCAGGAAGATGTTGAAGGGTGGACTTTTGAAAATATGACCCTTTAATTTCATTTTATCACACAATTGTGTAGCTAAAAACTGCACCTTTAACAGAAGAGTTAAATTGAATTCTAGGATTTTTCTGGCAGGGCAAACATTCACGATACTTTTTAAAACAACAATTCTTCCAGAGGTGGGGGGTGGAGAGAATGGGAGAAATGTTGTATAGTGTACATACTTGTAACTAGTAGATAAATACATCCTGAAGACCTAATACATAGCACAGTGATTATAAACAAAACAAAAAAAAATACAGCACTATTATGAACATTAAACCTTTTAAGAGACTTGATTTAGTTATTCCCAACTCTAGAAGAAATGACAATTATGTGATCCAACAGAGATGTTGGATAATGCTTGTATGGCAATTATATTACGATATAAATGTATCAAGTACAATGTTGCATGTTAAATATAACTCAATAAAAAAATTCCAAAAATTATTTAAAATATTTTTGCTTCAATATCTACCATGACAACAAACGTCTTTACCTATGCTACAGAACATAACTCAGGAAATTGTCTGCTATAAATTCTATAAGTTTTAAGATTTTTATGGGTAAATTAGAAAGGGGAGGAGTGAATTTACTACAAAAAACCAGGCCATGAAATTCAGTCACAAATGGAAGATTTTTTTGTCTAATAAAATGATTATTATATGAAATAATAGAAGCACAGCTTAGAAAATTGTTAAAACATTTAAAGATGATTAAAACCAATACCTATGACCCCCCCAGCACAATCTTAGGTATGTACCCTGAAGAAATGTATGGCTATCCATACCAGGAAACATATCCAAACATTATTTATAATATCTTCACCCCAAATGCTCATTAGATGATAGATAGATTCAAATAATGGATTTTTTTTAAACAATAATGAGCTACAGCTACATACAAAAACAGAGTTGCTTTTTAAAAGCATAATTTGAAAATTTTTAAAAGCTGGGCCTAAAATAAAATACACAGTGTAAATATAATCATGTAAAGCAGAAAAACAGAATTAAAAGTACATGGTTCCAGAAACAAAATAAGAGAACAAACTGATGGTTTCCAGAGGAGAGAGGTACAGGGAGATAGGCAGAAAAGGAGAAGGCGATTTAAAAGTACAAACTTCCACCCTAGCTGGTTTGGCTCAGTGGAAAGAGCGTCGGCATGTGGACTGAAGGGTCCCAGGTTCGATTCTGGTCAAGGGCATGCATGTACCTTGGTTGCGGGCACATCCCCAGTGGGGGGTGTGCAGGAGGCAGCTTATCGATGTTTCTCTCTGATCGATGTCTCAAACTCTCTATCCCTCTCTCCCTTCCTCTCTGTAAAAAAAAAAAATCAATAAAATATATTTAAAAAAAATAAAAGTACAAACTTCCAATTATAAAATAAGTCATGGGAACATAATGCATAAGGAATATAGTCATTAATATTGTAATCACTATGTACAGTGTGACAGGTGTTACTATATTTATTGTGATGATTACTCTGTAAGGTACATAAAGGTTGAATCACATCTGAAGCTAATACAATAGTATATGTGAATTATAATGAAAACTTTTTAAATTAAAAAAAAAATGCAGTTAAGTGCTGCTTATATGGGTGGCAACAGTGTAGTGGCAAATTTGTCCAGAAAAGCAAGGCATTGGCTACCACAAATTCAGGATGGTGATGGTAAGTGAAGGGAAAGGCAAAGATGGGGACTTCCAGCAATGGTTCATTTCTTGTCCTGGGTGTGGTTACATTGGCAATCACTTTTTAACTACTTATTCAACTCTAAATAAAAGTTTTATTTTCTGTATGTATGTGAGACTTCACAATAGAAATATTTAAAAAATAAAACAGAAATAACCTACAAATGTGAATGGTGGTCATAACAGTCAAGTTTGGGTGGAATGACTGTGATTTTTTTTTCTTCTGTTTTTGCTTTTTTCATTTCTCATATTTTTCATTTAAAATAATGTTGCTTAGCTCTGGTGTGCTCAGCGGTTAGAGTGTGGGCCTGTGCATCAAAGGGTGGCAGGTTGGATTCCCCATCAAGGGTAGTATGTGGGTTTTGGGTTCGCTCCCCACTCCTGGTCTGGGTGCATGGGGAGGGCAACCAGTCAATGTGTCTCTCTCATCTCTCTCTCTCTCTTTTCCCTCCCTCCCTTCCACTCTATCTGAAAAGCAATGGAAAAAAATATCCTCAGGTGAAGATCAACAACAAAATAATAAATAAAACAATGTTGCTTATATAACTTTAGAAAACTAAAGAAATTAATCTTCTTTCTTCCTTATATATTTAAAAGTAATATAACCTGATTTTATTTTTGTCAAACCAGTCATTTAACACATGACGATATCCTGGTCTTCTGTAATAAATGCGCTCTTTTGCTAAACAACATGTTCTTGTCTCATTCAAAATACTCATGAGAAACAGGAATGTGTTTGATTCCTGTTTGGTTCTTCTCCATGATGTCAGATCTGTTTATAGATCTAAATCATTGGAAGGACACAAATTAGTATCATCACAAGTTCACAAACACACTCAGATTCTACTGTGGGTCAAGTGAAGAGGATCTCAGTATGTCGATTTACATTAGCTAGAAGCTTAGTAACCAAGTGTTTCTTCTCTGAGATTGCAGGGACATTCTTTTGGGAGAAAACTATTTAACAGCAGCATATTTTAGGGAAAAATTTTGTTATTGAATAAAACATACACCAAAAATATAAATAAATTTCAAACAAGTGAAGTATCCTAGAACATAGATAGTGTGACTAGCTCAAGACCTCGGTCTTATCTTGAATCATAGTATTTAAAAATTACAGTTAAAATATAATATCACCTCCAATTTCTAATATAAGACATTGTAGGTTGTTTTGGGCCAGATATATTTCATAATTTCAGATGATTGCAAATAATTTCCCTTCCCATTTGTATGCCTCTACCTACCTTTTTTCTCTCCTATTTCCAGAAGATACTGGGAATACATTTATTATTTTATAGAATGTTGTACTGAAAATAAAATGAGTACTCTCTTATCTAGTTTTTAAAATTTATCTTTATTTTTTCTTTTGATTCCATCAAGATTCCAAATAATCTAATTCAAATTGAACTGTTCATTGTTTATTGAATGGTTGAACAGTGGTATCCCACAAAGTAAGTTAGACAGAGAGTAGCGGCAACCTTTGGTCTCTGTGAATTAAACTTCATTGTATTCTCTGTTCTTCACCCTGACATCAGCTTGTAGGGTCTTGATTAAAACCTTTACAATCATATTTTTATATAAAATAGGGTTTCTAAAATCAACTCTGACTCCTGAAACCATAAGAAGAATGTGTTGGGGCCCAGCCTGCATGGCTCAGAGGTTAAGCATCTACCTATGAACCAGGAGGTCATGGTTCTATTCCTGGTCAGGGCATATGCCCTGGTTGCAGGCTCAATTCCCAGTCAGGGGTGTGCAGGAGGCAGCTGATCAATGATTCCCTCTCATCACTGATGTTTCTATCTTTCTCTTCCTCTCTAATATATATATATATATTTTCTTCCTTCCTTCCTTCCTTCCTTCCTTCCTTCCTTCCTTCCTTCCTTCCTTCCTTCCTTCCTTCCTTCCTTCCTTTCTTTCTTTCTTTCTTTCTTTCTTTCTTTCTTTCTTCTTTCTTTCTTTCTTTCTTTCTTTCTAGAAGAAGAATGTGTTAGTTAAATGGCTAGGTCCCCCGGCAAAAACAAAACAATGCAAAACAACAATCTCATCTATTATATAAAACTAGAGGCCCAGTGCACTAATTCGTGCACAGGTAGGGTCCAGGAGAGAGGCTGCGGGCAGTTGGCCGGCGGCCCTGCCCCCAATGGGGGTGTTAGGGGCTGATTGGAGGTGGGGCTGGCCAGGGGGAGAGGTTGTGGGAGGGCTCCAGGGCGTGCCCCCTGGTGGTCAGTGCATGTCATAGCAAGTGGTTGAGCGGCCTTAGGATATCATTAGCATATTATGCTTTGATTGGTTGAATGGACAACCAGACACTTAGCATATTAGGCTTTTATTATATAGCATTATTCCTACTAATTATTGCCACTAAGACAGTGGTTCTCAACCTTCTGGCCCTTTAAATACAGTTCCTCATGTTGTGACTCAACCAAAAAATTATTTTCGTTGCTACTTCATAACTGTAACGTTGCTACTGTTATGAATCATAATGTAAATATCTGATATGCAGGATGGTCTTAGGCGACCCCTGTGAAAGGGCCATTCAACCGCGAAAGGGGTCGCAACCCACAGGTTGAGAACCACTGCACTAAGACATCACCCCTTTCTCAAATTCTCTTCTATTATTCCCCATATTAAGTGTGGATTCTTGGTCAAGACAAAGAACAGAACATACTTTGTAAAGTCTTTTTCACTAAAAGAAAAACACTTTTCATTGGATTCAAGTTTATAATCTTAAACATGAGTCACATTTCAAAAATATTTTCCTTTTTGACAAAAATGTGCTTAAACTACTTGTTTCCATTAATATCTAACAGTCAAGATAATATTGACAGAAGTTCCCCAGAGACATATGTTTAAAAAAATGACACATAATTGAAATCTGTCCATTTTTGCTTAACAGGTCCCTTAAGTATAATAATGACTCTTTGTTGAGACCATGTGCCAGGCCATGCTATGCTCTATCAGGACATGGAGCAGCTACCCAGGCTACTCATTATTCCAAGTTGGAGCCTGGATACTACTAACTTCTCCAGTCCCCAGATGCCACCCTCTTTCAACTACACGGATTTATTAATGTTTTCTAATTAAAAGTCCCGTTTGAAAAGATCTGTATTCCAGTGGAAACCGACTGTACTGAAATGGAAATATCCACATGTAATTATTAACGGCCACTCTCTTTCT